CACACACACACACACACACACACACACACACACACACACACACACATAAAAAGATAATTAAAATGTAATGTGCTGGTCTAGAGCCAAGCTGATATATAAAAGCACAATGCAACCATACACAGTGCAGATTATACCTGCTATTGAAGCCATACAGCTGTTTTAGCAGGAACAGGAAGAGCAACTTCCTTTAAATTAGTGAATCATTAACAAAGCAGCACCACACTCTCAAACACTCTAGTCTACAATAGAGAGATGATCCATACATCAAGGTTGTTGTTATATATATATTTATAAACCGACTTAATAAGGACAGAGAGACAAAAATGATAGTAACATGAAATACTGGAGCCACAAGCATTCTGTCACTGCTCTTATTGGCCCAATACAAAATATAGGCCAGCATGTATGACAGAAATAAAAAAAGCACCTACTTTCTCTGACCGAGATTCATAAACCACAAAAACATTGCTGCAACCCATGGGAGTTGTATCACACTGAATAAATACATTCAAAAGCAGACATTGTTAACATACCCAGCCAAAATAATGTTCGAGAGCCACTAGTCGGTGCAGATTTAGAGTTACAAATAGTAGGCAAACAAGATTTGATTTAAGACACATTAGCGGAATGGATTTGGAATACAGCCTGAGGCGTTTCAGCATGCATGCACGTGATATTCAGTTTGCCATCGGCCAGAAAAACATTCTAAATATTTCTTTCTTTGATACCGACTTGTTTTCAAAGACTGGCAAATGTCTGGGATACTTTTCATTCCATCAGTCGAGTCATTGCATTTTTCCATTTTACTTCAGCATTTCATATTGGGCTAATTATAATCACTACAGACTATAAATGTAACCCCACTTTCGCAAATCTAGAATGAATATAATGATATATATATATATATATATATATATATGTGTGTGTGTGTGTACTTTTACAAACTATATTTCTATATATACTTTGCATGTCCCCAAAATATTATATTTATTAATATTATAATAATATAAATTTATAATACATTTATATTATAATATACATTATTATAAATATAAATTTATATTATAATAATATAAATTCTGGAGATAAATTTGTCCCCACGCTATATCTACATGAATCCACACACAGTTACTGGCATGTCTGATCAGTTCAATGTGATGTTTAATGGTGGTTATATATCATAATGAGTACTTAGACTGCTAAATTTATGCATGGCGTCATCATCAATATTCATGTCAACCAGGTTTGTATAATGCAGTGTTACTTAAACTCTCTTCTCTTCCCCTTCTCAAATGAACACAAATTATTCATGTGCATCGATTCACTTTGCCCGGCAGATATGGATAGCACATCTACCTACTT